TGCATGTTGCTTGTTTCATGTTGCTCGTTACATGTTGCATGTTGCTTGTTTCATGTTACTTGTTACATTATGCATGTTGCTTGCTGCATGTATAAGTTGCATGTGCATGCTACATGTTGCTTGTTACATGTTGTCTATTACGCTTGAAATGCATTATATTTATATGAAACTTTTTGTCAGCACAGAAGAAATTATGCCGGAAAAACGTGCAGGAAAATCCATATCGTTGTGATCTTTCGATGATTGAATTCACATCGCCCATAGTACAATAGGGCTTAGTATACAAATGCAACGAAACCGTCGTCAACCTTTTTTGAAATAGCTGTATATAATGTTGTAAATACCTCTCTCTTGTTGCGATCGAATAGGTATGTCTGGTCCAGCACTTCGTACCAGTTTTTGTTTGTTTCGTCTGCGAGACTGAGATCCTCGTGTTGTTTGAGTTCGATTAACGAATCAACCTTTTTAAAAAAAAACAAGCAATCTTTTTTTCACATTTTTTCCTGGGTCATACATGGACAGTATAGCAGCTGCCTGCCAGAGGCGCGTTTATATACTTTCAGTTCGACACCGTTGAGCTGCGCCACTGCTGTTAAAACCAGTTTGAATTAAAAGGTCTCTGTCATTGCAGGCTCACCGTTCGTCTCGCTTCGATGCAAAGGCACGGCTAGTGAATATCGCTCATTCAAAATTATTTTCGATCGCAGGACAAATATTTTGATGCACCTCCTTTAGTATGATTTGGAAGTATACTTCAGGTCTTCATATCTTTTGGTATTGTCAACAGGCAACAGAGTAATGCCCCAAAATGATACATAAATTATACAGTAAAGTCAATAAATTGAAAAGGCGAGGAACATTGGGGCTATCATGGACTCTAACTTAACTATGGAGGCGCATGTAACAACCATCTGTAAATCTGGCTTCTATTATTTAAGGAAAATCAGCAAGATAAGGAAATATCTCAGCTTTAAATCTGCAGAGATATTAGTACACGCTCTGGTTACGTCTCGATTGGATTTTGGAAATGCACTGTTACATGGACTACCAAACACTCTGCTAGAGCGAATTCAGAAGGTTCAAAATGCAGCAGCACGAGTAGTTACCCTAACAAAGAAAAGAGACCATATAACACCTATAATGTTCAAGCTACATTGG